AACCTCAGGGTTCAGGTTGCTGACCAGCATGACGCAGTGGGTGCCAGGGAAGGAGGGGAAGCCCAGTCTGCTTGCAGCCGCAGCGGCCGCTGCTGTCCCGGGAATGGCCAGTGAGGCGAGGGCTCCGGGAACCCCAGGTATTGCAAACCCTGTTCAAGATGGAGTCAAATGTACACTATACACCAAAAGACAAATTCAGAAAAATATGAAATATAGAAGGTGTTAAACTCGAGCTGTGTGCCATCGTACCTGCAGCCTGCTGGATAGCAAAAGCTGGAGGGAAGGCGTGCGCTCCTGGATATGGCGTAGCTGAGATGATCCCAGGAGCAGCTGCAAAATACCAGGATGTTTAGACTTTCTAAAAGAGGCAGAATGGGACTATGCTTAAGAAAATAGTGTGCTGGGTGCAATTTTACACCCGTTTGTACCAAAAGCAGCAGCCAAAGCATGATGTTCAATAGCGTGTTGACTGTCCCCAGTGGGCAGGTCCGGGCGAGTATAGTCACGGCTCTTGTCGTTATTGTATTTGACATTTAAGCTGGTAAGTTTGGAAAAGCTGATGCGCAAGGTACAGCAGCCATTGTAGATGTTCTGTCCATCTAAAGCCTGAGGAAAGAAAGATTTTAGTAAAAACGGTGCCACAAACATGTCACATTCTTTCACAGTTTGCGTCAAGAGACCTTTATTTCTGTAGCGTTTTATACAATACAGATTGCGTCAAAGAAGTTTCCGCGATAAACAGGAAAATAGCAGAATTAATTATGGACAGTTCAGATTCTGCTGTAAAGCAGCTCTAAAAGACAAAAGTGTCATTATTTAGCTTAAGTCAGTTCAGTGTTGGTTCAGTTCAGATAGGGCTGCATGTTGAATTGTATTTTAATCATGATGACGATTTCGGTTTCTCTTGATTTACTAAGCATTGGAGATGCAGGGATCAGCTCAAACGTCACCCGAATCCACTGCTTCAAACAAATTACCCACCCGCACCTATTTTTTTTCTCTGATTTAGATATTCCCCCCGACCCGCACCCAATCGTCACATTACAATTATTCTAATTCTTAGTTTGCATGATGATATGATGAATGGGTGGTTCATTTTTAGAAGCAGATTCAGTGACGTTAAAGCTGATCTGCGCATCACTGCACATGTCTGCGGCACATTACAGCTCTGACACGGCCACTGGAGCTGATCGCGGCCACTCAAGTCAATGCTTGTGTTCATACCAGAAAAAAAAAAAAGAGTGCCGCGGCACTTTTCAGAAGCATCCCAGAAGCGGCTCTCCACGCTGCTTTGCTAAAGATAGGCGCCTAGTCTACCTTTGACAGATGCTGCGTCCAAGCCGCACATAATTGTATAACTGAGGATTAATTTTTAAAATGACTAAAAAAAA